TAAAAATATACTTTATTGACTTTTTTACAGAGTGGAAGGAAGAGGGATAGAGAATTAGAAACATCAAAGAGAGAGAAACCTCAATCAGCTGCCTCCTGCACACTCCCTACTAGGGATGTGCCCACAACCAAGGTACATGCCCTTGACCGGAATCGAACCTGGGACCCTTCAGTCCGCAGGCTGATGCTCTATCCACTGAGCCAAACCAGTTAGGGCAGGCCAGAGATTTTCAACACGTATGCTGCAGGAGTTCTTAACATGCAGCACCCGCCAAAGGGGTCGCGACCCACAGGTTGAGAACCGCTGATCTAGGCGAACCGGACCCAGGGAACCAGATGCAGGATGAGTTTGTGCACACAGAGGGCTGGTTGTCCTGGGACTTGGCCCCCACCCCTCAGGCCACTTTGTAGCCGGGAGGGAGCTGGTGGCATTGAAAGGCAAGAGCAGTGGCACCAGCTGGCAGGATGCCGGAATGTCCCAAGGACAGGGGCTCAGTGCATCCTGGGCTGGTGGTCCCTGTGGAGCTGGAGATCGAATCCTCCCACTCGCCCATGGGGCCGCTGGGACACTCACCAGAGGCTCTGCAGGCGGGTCATGTGGCTCAGTCCTTGCGCGAGTACAGCCAGGGTGGAGTCGTCCAGGGGGAAGTGGCTGAGGCTGGAGGGGAGGAGCCAGAGGAGGCCTTGGCATTGCTGGGGTTGGGCCCCACATGCAGATCGAGGCCCGTCAGTCCAGCTGCCTGAGGCCTCAGTGCTTGGCAATGCCAGCTGCCCAGACAGCCACCTCCATCCACATGGTGCCAAAACATCGCACACAGCAAAACTGCCCGGGGGAAGCCAAACATGACAGCCATCCCAGCAGCAGCTCCATTTCTGAACCACACGGGACCCGGACTACTGATCAGTAACCAGAGCGACCACATATCCAGGCTCAGGGCCATCCTGGCTGGTGTGGCTCAGTGGTTGAGCACGGTCCTGTGCACCGAAAGGTCGCCGGTTCAATTCCCGGTCAGGGCACATGCCTGGGTTGCTGGCTCCATCCCCAGTAGGGGGCGTGCAGGAGGCCACCAATCAATGTTTCTCTCACATGAAGGGCCACAGGTCTGCTCTGTTCCCTGCAGCACCTCTAGTTCCAGGTCCTGGCTCAGGTGCCCAGGTGCCCAGGTGCCCAGGTGAGTCCATATTTGCCAGGTGCATACATGAGCCCATGAATGACCTCATTGGCCTCCAACCCTCCAAACAAAATCTCCCAGAGGCAGGGAGGATGAGCAGAGGGCAGGCACATGGAGGGGGACAGTTCAGTGGTAAGACACGTGAGCCTTCTGGTCAAAGTCGCCCTAATACCACCCCCATCCCTGGGCCAAAGCAGGCCAAAGGGGGGGAATTTCATTGTGAAGAAGCAACGAGTCAGAAGGCCACTTCTGCACTGTCTCCAAAACACAGGTCAGTGATCTGGAGCAAAGGTTACCAACTGTCCTTTCAGAGCCGTTTTCCCAGGAATGTCGCCCTCAGGGATCGCATGTCCGCCACCGCATATTTCTACCATGACGAACTTAGATCGAGCGTGTGTGTTTGGTCATGGGAAGAACTCAGAGATTAAAAGCAGGGGATTCCCCGTTAAATGCTCCCTCTAGATGTTATTAAGTCTGAGATGGGGCCTCGCCTTCAGACCGAGGCTGTTTCTGGTGTTTCTAAGAATTTTGCTTATTTCAAAACTATAACTTCTAGGCCACTTCTGGGCTATAAATGCCAAATTATAAAAGTTGCCAGAACCTAAAAAAAGACACGGTAGGCAAATGGCAGTGGACATCTGTGGATTTTTTTTCTGCCCAGGTTCTGTTTCCTTTTGTTCTGTGAATAGCAGAAATACCCTGAAATACCCCCTCTCCCCCGAAGTCCAGGGCATTGGGTGGGCCCGTGACCCAGATCGGCCCAATCAAAATACGGCGTGCTCAGAGCCACAGTGATGGGTGTAGGAATGGCCATGTGGCCCGCCCTGGTCCAGTGAGCATCAACCAAAGGCCTTTGGGGTAGGTACTGGGAGGAAGTACCAGTAGTTGTAGCTGCAGGAACAGCCTGCCTGAGAACGAAGTCGAGAGGGAGAGAGCCCTGACCAGTTAGCTCCGTGGTTAGAGCGTCGGCCTGCGGACGGAAGGGCAGACCCCTGGGTTTCATGCGGGAGGCAACCAATCCATGTGTCTCTCTCTCATCAATGTTTCTCTCTGTCTCTCTCTCTCCCTCCCACTCTCTCTAAAAAATAAAAACCAATGGGAAAAAATATCCTCAGGTGAGGATTTAAACAAACAAACAAAAAAGGTGGCGAGGGAGAGAGCCAGAGAGAAAGGCAGGGGTGGGGTGGTGGGAACAAACATAGAGCCTGGATCCAGCCAAGCCTGAAGCCAGCGGCCTTGTAATATCCGGAGACGTGAGCCCGTGTGTCTCTGGCTCGGGTGGGTTGGAGTGAGCGAGCCTTGAGACAGCCCTCAGAGCCGGGTCAGGGAGTAAAGAGGAGGGCGCCCAGCTCACCGGGCCATTCGGGGATTGGACAGTTTGTGGTCACAAAAGCTGCCAGGGTGGCTAGGCCTGCCCCCAACAGCCCTTCCCGGCATGACCCTCAGCACTTACTCGAGCCTCCTCAGCCAGCTCCTGCCTTTGAGGGCCCCCGCCAGCACCGTGGAGGCCTCCTCACCAAGTTGATTGTTAGACAAGCTGTGGGGGGACCAGGCGCGAGGGGGGGGTTAGACAAGCCTGCCCAGCCCCAGGCCCCTCGGTGCCCGCAGGAGCCCATCCTAGCCCACCCCTCCCGCCCAGGCTCCCTGGGGGCATCCTCGCTCCAACAGTCAGGCTCCGGGGTCCTTGAGGAGGGGGCATGGCCGTCACAACGGACCGGGCTAAGAAATGATGCCCTGAGTGAGGGCTGCAAAAGAGGAGGCCAGGGACAACCCCCCGCCCCCCATACAGTGGTCTTTTCTGTTCATCCACAGCCACCTGGGCAGAGAAGGGTTCTGACCAGGTTACAGATGAGGCATGCAAGCCTGGAGCGGCACAGCTTTGTGCCCAGGACACTCTGAATGAGGGGTGGAGTTGGGACAAAGAACACAGCGCCCAGCCTTCCCCAGGCCACACCCAGAGAGGCTGGGCTCCATCAGGGAGAACGTGATCCCTTGACGGCCACTCCCCAGCTCCCCAGAGCCCCGCCCCCCTGTCCTCTCCACCCCTGGCCCTTCCCAGACCCCTCCTCCCGGAGACTCACTCCAGCTCCTCCAGGTGGCGACAGCGGCTCAGACCAGACGCCAGGGGGGCCAGGCCCCCAGAGCTCACACAGCTGGAGGCCAGCCTGGTGGGGGTCAGAGGGCAGCATGTCAGGCAGGAGCTCTGGGTCTTGGGGGCTCTGAGTGCTGATGGCGGAGGGCAAGGAAGTGGGGGGGAAGCGGGAGGGGGTCCTCCTTTCCTTCCTAAATCTCTCCCCCTGAATCAGCAAGTTGAGACATTGCTTGGAGGCAGGACTAGTTATTTCCTAAACCAGTGGTCGGCAAACTGCGGCTCATGAGCCACATGCGGCTCTTTGGCCCCTTGAGTGTGGCTCTTCCACAAAATACCACGTGCGGGAGCACATGTACAGTGCGACTGGAAACTTCGCGCATGTACAGTGCGATTGAAACTTTGTGGCCCATGCGCAGAAGTTGGTATTTTGTGGAAGAGCCACACTCAAGGGGCCAAAGAGCCGCATGTGGCTCGCAAGCCGCAGTTTGCCGACCACTGTCCTAAACTCTCATCATTCAGATGGCAGCTTCACAACTTATGCCATAAGTGGGCGTCACTGTAAGTCTAGCTAGTGACTGCCCATGTCCGTGAGCTCTACGCCTTTATTTAAACAACAACAACAACCAAAAGAAGCAAGTGTGGAGCGGCGTTAAAGACTCATTGGCGCCCCGGCCAGTGTGGCTCAGTGGTTGAGTGCCGACCTACAAACCAGGAGGTCACGGTTTGATTCCCATCAGGGCTCATGCCCGGGTGGTGGACTTGATCCCCAGTAGGAGGCGTGCAGGAGGCAGCTGATGAATGGTTCTCATCATTGCTGTTTCTCTCCCTCTCTTCCTCTCTGAAATCAATAAAAAAAAAAAACTTATTAAAAAAAAAGACATATTGGCAAAGGAGACCTTCTCTGGGATGCAAACAGTGGGATTAACACAGAATTGAAAGTTAGGAAAGTCTCATTTTGCAACCATCACACTGGTTACTTGGTCCAGGCAAGAATTGCCGACGGATGCCAAAACTCCGTGGGTGAAGGTGTGAGGCAGAACAGGAAATTTACAGAAACTTAAGGCAGCTCCGTCAAAGACACTTGCTGATGAGAAAGAGGAAAAAAGTAGGAGCTGTGGGACTGAAGACACCTGGCAGATGCCACCTACACCAGGTGCTCACAGTTCACGTCAGCGGTCAGGGGACGAACAGACGTCACGGACGTACAGATGTGACCAGCTGAGGACACACGGAGCCTCTGAGGTGCTCCTGCCCAACATGCAGAACCTGCATCTCAGCTCGAGGGAACGGCGGACAAGCCGGGCTGTGGGCGGTCGACAGTAACCGGCGTGTGACCGTCATGATCATATCATGGAAGACCCGAGGGCTGGGGACCTGCTCCGCAGGCAGGAGACCAAGGAGAGATGGCAACGCACGGCCGTGTGTGGTCCAGGACTGAGGGCGGGGCGGGGGAGGGGTGCAATAAACATCATTATTGGGACAATTGGCAAAACTGGAGTATGAACTATAGTTTAGATAATAGAAGCGTGTCAGTGTGAAATTTCATGTTTTTTGCTGGATCCTGGGAAACACTGTCCTCTTAGGAAATTCACTGAAACGTTAAGGGAGGAAGGGACATGCTTGTGCAACTCGTTTTGAAATGTTTGAAAAGGGGAGAAAGAGGGAGAGGGGAAGGAACGAGGGGAGGGGTGAGGGAAGAGGGAGGGAAGACGAGAGCCAATGTGAGAAGAACCCTGACGAAGGGTGAATTTGGGAGAATGGTAGATGGAAGTTCTCCGTCTGCTTACAGCTTTGCGCTGAGATTGCAATGATTTCCAAGTCATAAAGCAGTGGTTCTCAACCTGTGGGTCGAGACCCCTTTGGGGGTCGAATGACCCTTTCACAGGGGTCGCCTAAGACCATCGGAAAAACACATATATAATTACATACTGTTTTTGTGATGAATCACTATGCTTTCATTATGTTCAATGTGTCACCGTGAAAATACATCCTGCATATCAGATATTTACATGACGATTCATCACAGTAGCAACATTACAGTTATGAAGTAGCAACGCAAATAATTTTATGGTTGGGGGTCAGCACAACATGAGGAGCTGTATGAAAGGGTCACGGCATTAGGAAGGTTGAGAACCACTGTCATAAAGGGTGTGGGAAAGGGGATTCCTTTCTCGCCCGTGGCCACGTCTATGAACACACACCCTGACACCAGCCACACCCTGGCGTCAACTCCAGGGCTGAGCTGGGTCTCTGCCCCGGGATCTGGGCCGGGTTCCCCTGAGCTCAGGCGTGGGGAGTGCAGGGCGGGCAGAGCTGCGGCCTGGGGATGGTCCTGTCCGCTTACCGGAAGGTCTTCAGCTCCGAGAGGGGCAGCAGGGAGCTCTGCAGCAGCTGGCAGCTGGCGTGGCAGAGGGTCACCTGGGACAAGCTGAAGGGCCAAGCATAGTCCAAGGCATTTCAGGCTGGACGACCTCAGGGATCATCCGTCATAAGGAGACGGGGAGGCCCAGAAAGGGGAAAAGCCCACCAAGAGCTCCCAGTGGGGCAGGTCCCCCCGCCATGTCAC